TTCATGCGTCCACACGTAGCTCTTAGAGCCACCTAACTATTGACACTAGTCTCACACTCAAACACTAAACCAAATGAAATTTAGAAAACCTAAAATGGTGCATTTTCTTTCCAAACCACCACCAAGGTATCTATACTCACATACCAAGTGCCAATAATCATGAAACTACTTGACCTAAGTCAAATGGATCACAAACAACTTGCTCATACAATCAAACTACCACAATAACATTCCAGACTCAAATTGGCCATTCAAACTATAATTTAGCATAAATCCTAAAAAGTGGTAACAATAGTCAACAATCATACACCTGACCAATCAAAACCCATGAATCAACACAAAATAACAACACAAATACAACATCTCACGGGTAACCTTTCAGTGACAGAAGGGTTGAGGTAACTCAATAACTCCCTCTACTAGACTATTTATTGTAACCGTGTGTGAGTTTGCTATGTAGTACATGAAATTATTTTGAACTGAGCATGTTTTGTAGCATTGAATGTTTATTGCATAAAAATGGATTTTGGTTAAACAAGTAATGGAAATGTGCATATATGTATATATATGAGTAAAGTGGTGATTGGGAACCTATGATTAGTTTGGAAAGCATGGTCATAGAGTTAGGAGTTCACCCGTGTGAAGTATGGTGATAAGACCATATGGCATATTCTCCTTAGTGTCCAACGGGGTGCAATGTTGGAGAATTATTCCTCCTTAGTGCCTTTTGAGGTGCAGTATTGGAAATGATCTCCTTAATGCCTATTGAGGTGCAGTGTTGGAGATTTAGACTCCTTAATGTTTGTGTGATATGTTGTTGCAATCAACAACACCTCATTGTGTGTATTAGGGAAAACCATAGTTTGGAAGTAAAATAGAACACCTTTAGCAGGTGATTCTACCAATAAATGTGAGCTCAAGGTCAATGAGATTGTATATTGGTCTAAGGGAAGCTTATGGTTTCAAGTTGAGGTAATTTAGAGGTTTGATTGGTAATGATCATGTTATGAGTGGAAAAGTGGTGAAAAGTGATGATTATAGAGGCAAAAGTGATGAAATAACTGGTAAAAGAGATAAGATGATTTATATAGATGATTCGAGATGGAATATATGATATATCTTATGCTTGATGATATATTATGCTATGCTTTCATATAATTGCATGGGATAGTTAGCAGTAGTCAGTTATCTTATTACTGAAATTTTTATCTCACCCTCATGGTTACATTTTTATAAGACAAAGTAGCAATTAGGGTGAAGGAAAAGATACAGGACCGACATAGTAGTGCCATTGTTATAAAAGTCTCTGAGATTGTATAATGAACTGGAAACTTGTGCATATATATGTAAATAAGTTGCCATAGGAGACTACATGCATGTTTGAGTTATTTGGTTGAAATCATAGAGAAATATAGTGATTCGTAGTAAATGTTGTGAGTTTTGGTGAATCTTATCTCATGTGTAAAATTATGATGAAATAAGTAATTTAGGATTAAGATTGAGTTGTAATTGTGTTGTGAATATGTAAAGTAGTGAATTTGTGGTGATATGTGGTGAGAAATGGCCAAGTAGGCCAAACAGTGTTAAATGGTAAAATTTATGAAATGTGAAAATTTGCCATTGAGAGGTCAAATTTCGATATATGTAATATATTGTGGTTAATCAAGTGTGTTAGGTCCTTTTAGACTTGGTTTAAGGCCTTGTCTAGTTTAATGAGACAATGGGGTCAATTTGAGGGCTTGGGTACATAAAATTTTTAAAACAAGTGACTTTTTACAGTAGGGTGTCCAAATTTTAATCAGACCGTTAGATTGTATCAAATCTATCTCATTAGCTAGCTTATGAGATAAGCTTTATGTGCGCGCTTAAATCACTTCCATTAGATGTCATATGTGAAAACAGCACATGTCAAAAGTTCGTCATTTTTGCTGTCAAATAATAGCAGAAAATTTGGACTTGCAGATCACAGCGCAAGACACAAAAGGTTAGGCAGGTGGCTCTATGCCACATGCTATGGCACATATATTGCATGCTACGGTGCATGGCTTAGAATCAGACCTTATTTCTTTACTATAAATGCATGCAATGAGTGTTATGAATGCAATTGTTTATTTTTCTTTATGAGTTACTCTGATATGGTATTAATTTAATGATTTTGTAAAACGAGTTTTGAGCCCAAACTTTTCAAACAAAGTATTGATTACTATTTGGTATGATGCATGGTGATTTGGTTAATCTTCTCCTGTATCTGGCAAATATAGGAAGAGGTTACATCCCTTATGAAGTAATGTATTGACTTCATAAGTGTGGATGCTGTGCATACAAGAAACACTATCTGAGTCTTAGATTAACTCAGGAGCGATTAGATTAGTCATGGTGAGAAAAGTGTATATTGATAAATATAGGACATTTCAAGACACAAATTTGATTAAGAACAAAATTAAACTATAAGGTTATTTGTGCTAATCGTTAATAGGATTTCTAGTTTAAATCCTCAAAATAAAGATGTCAAACCTGTGCAATCATGACAAACAACCTTGTATTAAAGGAGAAAGAGAAAAGGACAAGACCAGTGATATCTTATTCACCAAGTGTGTGTAGGACATGTTGAGTTATTCACCCTTAATGAATTGGGCATAACATAAGCCCATAGAGCTTTATTAGAATATAGAGAAGTCTAATCTGTCAGTATAATATAACTGGGCCTTTGTGTACAAATATTCCCATTCCAATTTTGAACTATTAGTGCGAACGGTTTTGCAACTTCCATGCACATCCAGGAAAAGTGTGTGTGTGAGTTGAGATGCCAATAAAGGGTAGTTCAGATATATGTTATTTCCTTCAGCTCTCATATAGACTTAATTAATTTTCCTCTCCCTCTCATGCTTCTCTCTATGTGCGCCCATTTGCTGTCTGACTCTAAACCAACTTCAATCTCGTGACTCTATTTCCACACACTCCTAACATCTAGTGCAACCAACAAGGTACGTATGCTCCTTCAAAACCTCACATTATTCAAAAAAGAAACCAAAATCTTTACGCTGTGCTTTGTCCAACATGAATGGTGGAAAGAAATCAAGTTCACCTTGCTAGAGAAACAAATAGACTTAAGTGAGATCTTATTGAAGATGGCCAGAGAGTTGGAGTCTATTTCTTATCACAAAGCTTCATGGGCTATAATCATGAGCCCATATAGCAGTAATATGAAGTCGTGGGATCCCATCTTTTATTGATCCATTTAGTGAACTTGTATCAAAGTAAGGAATACACTGTTTGAAATCAAGAGTGATGAATCTAGATTAGAGATATGAGATGGTAAGTGTAACATCCTAAATTTTAATATGAAATCTAATAACTAAATAAGGGATAAATTAGTGAATTAATAGACTAATTAAGTTAACCATGTTTTTAGGTTATAAATTGACATTTTGAGTCATTGGACAATTGTATGATTAAAATTAGATGGAAATAGAGTTGTTCGAGGCTGAGTAGATAAGCTAAAGTAAAATTTAGCTTACTATACCACATGTTGTAACATGATATAGTACACTACATGACACAATACACAAAGCCAACTTTTTAGAAAAAAACCAATTCATGATTTTTGAGACAAAAAAGGGAAAAACACAACAAAGAAGGAAGAAAAAGAGGAGGCTTTGCTAGGGCAAATATTTACAGGCACCTAAAAGTTAGTTCCAACCTATCATCTATCGGAGAAACTGCATACTTTCTTCCTCTCCTATTCTACCCTATTATCTCTTGGTTTAAAATATGGAAAAAAATAAATTCTGATTTTGTGGGGACTTCCTTTCTAGCCAAATGACTTTATAGGGTTATTGAAAGTTAAATTGAGAATTTGTAACTAATTTGATGGTTGTTAAAGGAATTTGGAAGTTTTAATTCAATTTTAACCTCAAGTGGAAAGGTTTGAATTGTTAAAAACCATATATTGATGTCAATTTTAGACTCACATATTAGCTGGGATAGTAATCCATTCTGTTGAAGTTAAGGATAAGGGTAGCACTCAACCGACAATGATTTACTTTGCAAACCTTTTGCTAGTCCTTGGATTAGTCAATTTAAATTTCGATGCACAGGACAATGCTAATGTAAATAATGGATAAGCTAAGCAACCATCGAAGGCATAAGCTTGTACTCAGTTTGAAGATTTGGATTGTCAAAGTACAAGATATGAGAAATGGATGTTTTGAACAATGACCAGTAGACTCTCAACTGTGGTCAAGTCCAGTTCTCATAGTTCCAGCCATCTTGGACCACTATTTTGGGGGTGGGGGGACACAATTCAGTGCAGTATAGAGGAAAACAATGAAAAGAGTTATTATCCCAGCATGAATCCTCACTTAACCTATGTGTATGGCGGCTCAAGGATAAAAACCTATAAATAATGTTGAAATTCAGGATTAAGGGGGGAAAGAAAACAGGAGTTTTAGCCTGAGCCTATAATATTCAAAGAGCAAAACAGTGAAAACGATGCATTATTCATAGCATGAATAACCACTTATGCTCATGTATATGGTAGTTTAAGTTACAAAACTATAATCTTGAAATTCAAGATGATATATCAACCCTCACTTTGTTGTAGAGATGGATGATGAAAGGACACAGATATCCATGAGTCATTATATGCAATTCTTTTCTGAATGAACGCTACAGTGTGTTTAAAACTTTAAAAATTAAAAAAGACAGTCAGCCACATGCATGCGCTATCTGCCTGCAGAGGGCTTGCCCAGTAGTTTTGCTAGAAAGAGCAATAAATGGACTAGATTGATCAAATAGCAGTCTTTCCACTAGCAAAAGTCTAACTTAAAAAAATTAATGCACAAATCTCTCACCAGAAGGATTTAGATCATCAACAATATCAAGCTTGGTTCAGTTAGCGAGGCTTGGAGAAAAAACAGAGAGCACGAGGACTAACGTTCCTTTTTCCACATAAAAGACTAAGGAAGAAAAGATAAAAAGAAAAAAGAAAGAAAGAAAAATGAGGGAAAGCCAAAAGAGGCTAACCAAGACATCGGATATATAAGTAATTAAAATCTAGATTTTGATTGGGGACTAGGAGTATAGTGCATCATCCAATGAAGGAGAGAGGGAAGGGAAGAAAATAATACATAAATCCCAAATACTGTCAAAGCACTGAACTGAGCTCAATGAAATACTAGTGCCAACATAAACCAAAAGAACCTACTTCTTAGTGGGCTTCTTCTTTGAATTTGCATTCACAGATTGCTGAGGCTTGGGATGCTTTTCAACCTCACTGGGCTCCAACCATTTAAGAGGATGGCGGTTAAAAAAGGGCCAATTAGGTACAGTCACCAACGTGGTGAGAACCACACCACCAGCATATATGAAGACCATCATTTGGAAAGAAGCCATAATATATCCAGTTGCAAATGCAAACACAGCAAACGCTAGCAGCATTACCTGCATCAGCTGCTCTGCTAGCTTCTGCCCTTGCCAATCCATCTATGAGCCAAAAAAGCACAAAGTGAGCAACCTTATAATCCATAGTAACATTACCAAACCCAAGAATACAAGTTGCGAGCTACAGGAAAACAAAATAGGCTAATTTTTGTTATACCATAAGGACGTAATCTGCAGAACTGGGAATCAGAATTAACACGAAATTAAAATGACAGCTGAAGAAATACAATAGCAATAGCAACAATTATTTCTCAGCAATAGCAAAACATATTCTACCAATATAATTTGCTATTCCATTTCTAAAATGCTAAACAAAACATGAGGGCTATGTCACAGATAGATATTTGAAAATACAAACTTCAAGTAATGTTTACTCTCCTGAATTCTAATTAATCTCTACTTTTAATAGTGAAATGGAGATAGAGTGCGAAGCAAGGACAAAGAATGTAAAAATAGAGATAATGTCCAATGAAATACAACCAGGTAACCCCAGGTGGACCACCTATATTACACTCAGTGAGGGCAAGTGCCGCCCTGAAATCTTTGAAATATGTATAACTGATATCATACCCATGTGATTTTTGTTCCAGGTACTTTAACTAAGATGCCTTAGTAAGCCAATTGATTGCAACTCCTCCAAGCAACTGAATAATGAAAACGATAACACTTTATGCAAGTTATGATCTTCCAATTTCATCTTGTAATTTATGATCATAAAAAGAGTTGCCTAAAGTCATTAAGCTGCACAATTGATTGTTTCTGTCAATAGTTTGTAAATTCACAGACCAATGAGCAGCAGGAAATTATTTAAACACAACCTTCTAAATTACTAAACACCAGTCGAGCCAAGTCATTTACCAGATCATGCATAAAAAAATACGTCGAGAATTTTCTAATTGATGCTAATATAGAGGTTAATAAACAGTATGCCAACACATAGCAAATCCAACATGGCACGATAACACAATCCAAACATATAAGTTACTAGTAATCAAAATGAAGAGGGAAGAAGTATAATAGCATAGGCGGACCTATACTACCCTCAGTGCCCCACTGAAATCTTTGAAATATGCATAGTTGATATAATACCCCCTTAATTTCTGTTCCAAATACTTTGACATAACTTGAGCCAAGTCATTTACAAGATTATGCATCAGAAATACCAAAGAAAATTTCCAAAATTGAAGATAATATAAAAGGATTAATAAACAAAATGCCAATAAAAAAACAAATCCAACATTGCAAAACAGCAATATCCAAATCATACAAGCCGTTAGTAATCAAAATGAAGAGGAAAGGAGTATACTATTACACATCATTCAAGCAAAAACTAGTTAAAAGCAAACTAACAAAAAAACAAACAAACTCAATATTGAAATATTCCAACTTTAAAGGCGCCAATATTCAACAATTACACGACCAGATTCAAGGCGAAATTAAAATGAAAAATTTAAAACAAAGCAAGAACAGCCACGCAGGGAAGAGATGACGCGGGGAACAAATTCAACTCTAGATTCAAAACCAGATTGGACAAATCAGTCTCACCGGATTTTGGGAATAGAAAAAGCCCTAGGGTTCGAACCTTATTCACTGCTTGCCCGAGAACAACCACGCAGGTCTAACAACGGTGGACGGCGTCCGACGGAGAATGGGATGCTTCTTCGTCGACGAAGAGAACTGGACCAGTACTGACGAGAATAGGCTTTATCGGGGGTTATAATTAATTTTAGGAAGAATTTGCTATTGATCCAAAATTAATTATTCAAATAGCAAAAGTTAATTACTCAATACTTACTTTATTAATTTATACTTACAATTTATTCTTAACTCTTCTATATTAAATAGTATTAAAAAAATTCTTGAAAAAACACAATAATAGGTCTTATGCTTTGATTAAGTTTTAATTTTAATCTTTGTAGTGTTTTTGTTATTGTTTCTAGTCCCTTTGATGTGTTTAGTGTCCATTTAAATTTTAAGTTACATCTGTCAAAAATGCATTTAGAAAATTATTGAATTTGACAAAAGCATGCCTCATATGTGATTTAGATATGTTTTTGAGAGTTACCCAAGCATGCCTTTAATATATCATGTCAGTGCACGCAATTTTAAAAATTCATATAAAAATCATGAGATGGCACTGATAGAGGTAATTTCACTGTAACTTTGCTAACTTCTTTATTAACATGATAAAAATATATTAATGATGTGAAAATAAATTGATTAGGTATGATTAAAAATAAATAAGCAACTAGGACAAAAAGAACTTTCTTTCATATTTGGCTTAAATAAAATGTAGAAGACAACAATGATTCTAATTACACATAAAGGGGTTAATAAAATTAAATACATTTAGGCAAAATTAAGCCTATCGATGTCAGTTCAAAGTTCTTATGTATATTTTTTTAAATTGTTAGAATTAATGGTAGACAAATCAAATTATAGGGACTGAAAATAAAAAAATAAAATTATAAGAACTAAAACTATAACGCAATCAAATAATAAGCATCTATTGTTATTTTTTTAAAAAAACTAATTCTTACCCTACCTACATTGCACAAGACAATTCAAATTGTCATGGACGCCATCAAATAATAAGTATCTAATGTTATTTTTTGTCCCAAACTAATTCTTACCCCACCTACATTGTATAGGACAATTCAAATCGTTATGGGATTAGCTACCCATTTTAACCAAGTGAATGTAATCAAGTGCAGACACATATGCATCACAAACTATCAAAGACTTCTTGAAACACTGCATTATTTATTGACTTCTTTGTTCTATTATCTTTATCGTGGATGAATATTTTCAAATTGTTGACACCCTTGACCCTTAACAAAGCTACATACAAATGCCCATAAGTGAAGGGAAGTACAAGTAACACTGTAAAATCAAGCAACAACACTCGAGAGAGGAATGAATTAAGTGTTTAAGAAATTTTTGATTAAGTAAAGATTTTCACAAACTTTGATATAATTAGAAGATGTAATAAGAAATTTGGAATGAAATAAGTGAGTATAAAACTCAAATACTTCTGTTGAAAAAATATTTCCTAAACCTCTTTGACAAAAAAGCTTAATATATATTTTCATAATTATGTTTAGAATAGTGAAAATACAAACAACAAGAGTACATGCACAGCTTTCATAATTTTGAGTTGAAGAACCAAGAGAGAGAAAGAGAGCAGAATCTATAAGTGCTCAACATAAAGTGTTAAGGGATAAAGATATTGCATAGAAGATTTATCTTAGTTTAGCCCAACCACTTAGCTTACATTCAATCCCTAAGATTACCCTTGAGATTTTTTGTAACATCTTGAGATTTTAATTCAAGAAATGATTTCTAAGAAAACGATAAATTAGTAACTTAGTGGATCAATTAGATAATCAGGATTTTGGATGACAAATTAAGGTTTTAACCTCTTTGGATGCTGAATGGATAGGATCGAGTGAAAGAACAACGATCCAAAGTTTAAGGCCTTAGAAGTTATTTCCAAGCTATTGCTCACTGGGTAAGTTCTGTATCGCTCTAACCTCTAATTCTACAATAACTTCTCTTAGTTTAAGTTATAAAGAAATTGAATCAGGGAGCTTTAAGGGGTTGTTTTCTTACCCTTTTGTAATAAAAAGACTCTTTGGAGTTAAATTAAAGTTGTGATTGCTTTGAAAATTTATAGCTAGGATTTGAAGCTGTAGCCTTGGTTTAGCCCAATTTATCAAATTCAAAAGGCTGAAAATTTGAGAAGAAGTGTGTTGGGATGGATAGAAGTAGTAAGGAAGTGTAATAGGGTGACGAGAGCCTACGATGTGGATTTGAAAGTTGTTGGAAAGTTACTATGATTAATTGTGATAATTAATACTCTAAGTCAATTTGATAATTAACTCAGGGTGCTAATATGTGTAGGTTATTGTGAGATTTCACGTTAATTAAGTGGAAGGAATTTGAGTAAGGAAAATTGTGCCACGGGGTAACCTTTCTTGTGAACAAAAGGGTTGAAGTAACTAAATAACTTATTATATTTATTAGCTAATATAAATGCATATAAGTTTATATGATTTGTGGTTTTTGATTTAGTGCTTTTGCAAAGTGCATGTTTTAGCATTCAAAGCAATCTGACAATACTTATTTAGTTATAAATAGTTGTAAAAGGAAATGGATATGTGTGTGTGTGCGTGCAAGCACACATGCATAGATACTTATAAGCGTGAAAATGTGTAAATGTGTTCATATGCGTATAAAAGATAGCATGATCATGATAATGGGTAAGAGTTCACTTAATGCATATGTGAAGTTATATGTGAATAAAATTTATATGGTTGGGTTAGCACTATAGAACATTTGATGTATCATATTATTTAGAACTGTTACCATAGAACATCCAAGTATCTTGGCAACTCCCTAGTGCTTGTAAGGGTGTGGTTAGGAGTCAACAATACCCCTATCGTACGTGTGAAAGGGAAAAATTGTAGTACGAAAAATGAGATAAAATACTTTTGGTTGGGTGTTTCTATTATTGAAGGTGTGCTTGAATCGATAAGTGATTGATCCAATAACGTCTATGGTTTCAGTTGAGGAGCTTGGAGAATCAGTGGATAGGCAATCATGCTAGTGTGTGCTTGGTTTTTATGAAAAGTGATTATAAATGCATATTTACATATATAATTAGTAATTGTGAATATTTCAATAGTTTTGTTTACTTGTATGTAGTTATTCCTATTAGTAGGCATTTAACGAATTGTTTCGGTTATTAAAATTTTTATCTCATCTGTAGTTTTTCACATTTTTTACTGGATCTGACATTAGGAGCTCGAGAAGGAAAGATTCTTATCGGGAGTTATGATACTCCTCATTTTCTAATAGTGAGTATAATGAACTTAAATCATGATTTTGTTGTATATAAGTTGCTATAGGACTTCATAAGCATAAATACTTAATGCACTTGTAAACTTGCATGATATCTAGCTCGATATGTAATTGCATGTGTTGTGATTAAGAGCTAAGATTGGGCGTCAAGTGCATATGTGCATATATGCATATGTTTAGTGTGAAAATTGTGTGAAGTTTGGCCAGATGGATAAACCTATGTGAAAGTGTGTTTTTAGCCCAAAAGTGTGAAATGGGCAATTTAGTAGCCAAATTCATGCGTATATGTGATCTTATGTATAGCTGGTCAATCAAGTGTGGAAGGTGTAACATTTAAAAAATTATTACCTTAATTAATTAATTAAGATAATGAATAGTAAATATGTAAATTTAAGTATAAATGAATTTGAGGATAATTAAATATGACTAATAGGCCTATTGGTTTAAACTTTAGTTATTAGATTGTGTTCGGAAGTGAGTTGGACCACTTAGGTTCAAATTGTAGAGAAAAATTAGATTTTTGCCTACTGTGCATTATGTTGCAGCATAATTTCTGAAATAGGGAGTAAAGTGCCTGAAACAAAGGGAAGGCGATAGACAAAGTAGTTGCTCTATTAGGGCATCAACTTTTGGATATTTTGGAGGTAATCAGAGCTTTTATTTCACTTATGTATGACTTCCTTATCTCTTCTTCTTTTCTCTACATGTTTTGAAAGTGAGATTTGAGGTTGGGAGATGATTTTTGGACTTAAGGCTATGGATCTTACCCCTTTGGTCTAAATGGGACTAATAGAAATTACTTGAGTTATCTAAACCTAGATATAATGGTTTTAGGCATCCATGAGAATGGGCTCTCAATTATGGAAGAATTTGTGCATTAAAGTGCCATTACTAATGAAGGTTTGGGTTGTTGGAAGCCATTAATGATAGTTTAATGAAATTAGTTGAAGTAAATGGGAGCTAATAAACCTAATGTAGTGATTAAACTCAAGACCCAAGAGTTGAGAGTTTTGAGTTAAAGTGTTGAAACTTGAGAGTTGGAAGTGAGTAATTTGCAACATTGATGATGATTGTGCATTGTTGGATAATATATTAGTGATTATTTAAGTTGTTGAGAGTAATGGAGTTAATAGGGATTAATGAACTCATTGGATGTGAGGTTGATCATGTAGTTGAGATATTTAGTTATTAAATTATGAAGTTAGATGCTGGAAGTAGTGATTTTGATCATTATTAGTGATGGATGTTAATGTTAATTGTATAATAATCTCGTGAAGCACTGGTGATTTTGATCTTAACTTGAAAAGCAAGCTGTGATTGAGAGATAACCTTTAACCTTCAAAAGTTTAAGATAATCAGGAAAAATTTAGCTTGTACATTTGCTTGATTAATTGATTATACATGTGTGAAGAACTATTTGAAAATCATGGTATATTTCATAAATCTATATTTGATACAAGTTGTATCAATATCTAAGTTTATGTTATGTGATAAAATTAATGGAAATGGAAATTGTGAAGATATATGTTATGTATAATTATTCTTGTGAGTAAAAATAAAATATGTATAAGTGATTGTGAAAGATGAAAATTGCAAATTTGATATGTATTGAGCATGGTTGTGTTGTGATATTGATGAGCCTGATATGATGATTGATGGCTAAAATTTACATGCTATGTGTTGAACATATATGCATGGAATGATCATATAAAGCAAGAGTTCCTTTATAGGGAGATAAGTAGATGTTGTAAATCTATATGGTATTGGCGACTTAATATTGGAATTGAAAGTTAGCCAGACTATCAATCATTGAATCGAGAGATAATCATAGTCTCATTGTTATATAAAGACTGTCTCACTTGTTCTTCAAGGAACTT